GGTTGCATGCACATGTCAAATCAAAAGTGGCCACATGTCAATACAACACTATTTTATGTACATGTCAAATCAAAAGTGGCCACATGTCAATCCAACACTGGTTCCCATGTACATGTCAAATCAAAAGTGACCACATGTTAATCCAACACTGATTGCATGCACATGTCAAATCAAAAGTGGCCACATGTCAATCCAACACTGGTTCCATGTACATGTCAAATCAAAAGTGGCCACATGTTAATCCAACACTGATTGCATGCACATGTCAATTTATCCCCAGTTACATGTACAAATCAAAAGTGGACACATGTTTCAATTGTACACTAGTACATGTCAAATTAAACTACATTTTCATCAAACACACCACATAAATGTTATTACAAAGTGCAACTACCACATTTGCTATTAGACTATCAGAAGCACATTTCTAATTCAAATGTACATAGATAAATTAAATTCATTGTACACTGGATCATACAAATTATTTTGAACATAGATTTGCAGGCTTTCATCCAGCCACCTGTCTACCTGTCATTTTAGACAGGCACAAAATCTCATTAGACAAGCAAAATTTCCCGAAATAACGCATAAATAATTAGCAAAAAATTGACTAAGTCTCATTTTGATATAGTTTTTTGACAGCCACTTTTCATTTTCTGGTTGTAACACTGTCATTTGCGTTATAAATATGCTACTTATAGAGATACTTAAATTTGCAAGATAAGGCAACTTAGCACAAGGATGACCTCTAAATTGATTAAAAACCTAACTATTTTGCTGAAGAATTAGACCAATAATCAACACATTGAAAGTTCACACTCACTAACATAAAAATATACATATCTTATTCATTGGACCCTCCATATTAGCTGGATCCCTCGATTTTCACTAAATGCTCACAATTTTTTTCTTCTCAAGCATTATTTAGTTTTCCCAAGTTTTGTTTACCCGTTTCATACGTTGCTTTAATTCTGCAATCATGTTATCGCTAATTAAAACAAATTTTAATTACACTTCCAACTATTCAGCAACTCCAAAAATATTTATTCGTTCATGGCCCAACTGATAGGATTACAATACTGTAAGTTATGACACATACACTCTGCTGTAAAACTCCAAATTTTAACAGCAATATAATAATAATGTCAGTGCTTTCTTTCTATAATAATTTTACCTCAAAAATACATGTACGGTACACATGACCATACATTTTCACTCTCCAAAACTGACATGTTTAAGGTCAGTGTAACTTGCAGGATACCTAAGACTAGACACAGACTTATAAAATACAAATTCATCAATTGAAATTGCACATAGAAATAGATATACCTGTAATTTCAACACGCAAAATTAAAACTATGATAGCATACAAATGTGTCAAGACGAGTTGAATCAAGATGATTATTCCATGTTTGGTATTAGTCTTGAATGAAAAAAAAAGTCCTTTTCAAGAAAAATAGCAGTATCATTGATTGCAAGCAACAAAATTGCCTAAGTAATATTAAAGACGATTACCCGGTAAGTGTATTTGACAATTCATGTGATTTATGCCAGCTACATTGTGTATAAGAACACAAGACAGATGAGCACTTTATGTACATAAATTATATCACGATAGATGTGTAATAAATTTTTATCTGTAAAAACAAGTTTGCTATGGGTCAATGCAATGTACACAATTTGTGTACAATACATGTGCTGACTATTGGACTTTAAAATTGAAATTTACAACTGTGAGGGTAAACACTAAGAAGCACAAATAACTAGCTTGAAAAGATTAATATCAAATCATTGACAGGTTAATCAATTATTAATGTCAATATTATTTTAATATTTTAAACAAGCAGCCTCTCAGCCGAGATAGCTCCACAGTTCACACTTCAATTAAAAGAATGAAAGATATCATTAGAAAATAAACAAATATTAGAGGCACACCTGTAGTACCTATATGTACAATATCAAAGCAATCTGACTTGTGGTTTTCAACAAGAAGTTGAAAATACCACTTTTTACCAAAAATTACAAAAATATTCATCAAAAAATAGAGAATTCAAGATATCTACATGACATGTAAAAAACTAAGTGAGGTCTACCCAAGGTACATATACACCAAGTATCAAGGCATTCAGGGTTGTAGTTTTCAAGAAGGAGCGAAAAAGTAAAAAATGATGGAAGTAGATGGAAGCCCAACAAGAGAAGCCTGGCACCTTTAAATGAGATGGAAGCCAAAGAAGGGAACTCATGTCTCTAAATGAAGTGAAAGCCAAACATGGAAACTCAAGCCCCTTTCATGAGGTTGAAGCCAAACATCAGAACATCTAGCCTCTTTCATGAGGTGGAAGGCAAACAAGGGAAACCAAGCCAGTTTCAAATGAGGTGGAAGCCAAATACAAAAACCAAAGCCACCTTCAAGCGAAGCCTCCCCTACCAACGCAAACTTAATATGCCTGAAAACTACATTTTTATTTTAAAATCTACAAGTTTGAGGTTTTATTGAACAGTACTTTCTCTTGATATATAAACTTACTTCAAAGAATGATCTCAAAAATTTTAGTTTTGTTGATTACTACTAGCTTAGAAAAAGTCACAGGATGGCCTAACAATTTAAAGCAACAATTTCAAACAGTATTTGTGAAATTTCGCTAATAGCTATGCATGCATAAATTCATACAGTGCATGTAGTATGTACTTGCTCCATTAGTTGCACACACATAAATGACAGTTGTGTGTCTATGGTCAAAATCCGAAGTATCTAATGATCAAATAAACAAAACGTGTAAAAAGCAATTTTGGGTTTATGATCCACTTCTATTAACAGTGTGCTTTTAATAGAACAAATACACATTATTGTCAGCCAAGTTGTATCCAAGAACTAAAGTTATTAGTGTAATTGAGAGGCTAAATTAGGACACGACTATATATTCATATTATTTGCATTCAATGTTATGCAATACACCTTTATAAGTCAGGACACAAAGTAACTAAGAACTTTTGAGATCGCAAGAATGATGTAGACATAAGCATGTAGATGTGTTGCGTTGCGTTGTACAGTTATTACTGTAAACCGCTAATTTGGGAGTGACAACATTCAGCGTAATTATGAAATTTCATAGCATAAATAAATTCTCACAGGTTCTGTCACAATCTCTGCCTTCACAAATGTCGTAAAATCATTAAAACTAAGTTGTTTACAGTATTTAGAAAGAACCGCAGATCAAAGTGATGTCAACTCTGAATTCTAATACACCAATTTACGTCTTACAATTTGATGATTCACAAAACAGCTACTTAAATGTTACAAGACATAATTTTTTTAACAAGCAGCCTATCGGCTGAGATAGCTCCGCTGTTAGCAATGCACATTTCAATTAAAGAACTGGAGACATCATTAGAAAATGAACAATATGTATAGTATCAAAGCAATCGGACTTACAGTTTTTAACAAGAAGTCGAAAATATCACTTTCTACCAAAAATGACAAAAATATTCAAAAAAATTAGAGAATTGAAGATATCACGGAATGAACAAATCTGAGAAAGGTCCACATGTAGTACCTATATCTGTAATATCAAAGCAATCGGACTTGCGGTTTTTAACAAGAAGTCGAAAATATCACTTTTTACCAAAAATGACAAAAATATTCACCAAAATTAGAAAATTAAAGATATCATTACAAAATGAACAAATCTGAGAGTGGTCCACATGTAGTACCTATATATGTAATATCAAAGCAATTGCACTTGTGGTTTTTAACAAGAAGTCGAAAATATCACTTTTTACTAAAAATGACAAAAATATTCACCAAAATTAGAGAATTGAAGATATCAACATGAAATGAACAAATCCTAAGAGAGGTCTACCCAAGGTACATATACACCAAGTATCAAAGCATTCAGGCTTGTAGTTTCAAGAAGAAGTCGAAAAAGTAAAACATTGACACGGACGACGACGACGGACAATCACTCATATGATAAGCTCCGCTCGACAAAGTCGACAGCGGAGCTAAAAAAACTAGCAATTTCACACTGGCATATGAAAAAGACATCGATTTTTTTTGCCTTGTTTCTAAACAAAATCCAAGCATAATGCCAACACTGCCATACTATTCTGTTGAAAAATTCGCTGGAACCCTGTAATGAAATCAAAACAAAAGATATGCACAATAGAACTATGTTATCACTGTTCAACAGTAATAACATGCAATATAGCCACTTGTATACCATGGTTTCAATTTCACAAAGGCAACTTTTGGAAAAGTATAGATTTTCCCTATACTTTTTCATATAGGCTAAGCTATGGAGTGAAAAATATCTTTTTAGCTCCATGGCAAATGTAATTTGCGCCTTCTAGATTCTGATGTTCAAGCCATGAAACAGTCTACGATCATTAGTCTCATTGACATTATCAAGCAACAATACAACCCGTTTGACAAGGCACAGGCAGGGTCTGCTAACTCTGGCAATATGCATGATATTGCCAATATGTCAATAACATGGCCATTACTATTCATCATATTCTTAAATTATTTGTAATGACTGTAATATAAGGCGCAGCTTCATTTCTGAAACTAATTCACATGTCATAGGATAAACTGAAGCATCTAGGGGCAAATATAGACTGTTACCATGGCAATATTAATATATATCAAGATGTATGACTATATACATACATATCACAATCAGTAGCTGGAAATGAAAAACATTTAACACTCTATGTACAATGGATATGCTTATAGTTGCACTAGCAGCAATTCAAAGTTCAGCCTATATCAAATTTGTGAAAAATTCACAGATCACTCGTCTCCCCCCTCCCCCAACAGAGAGACATCAATATTTTGAATAAATCAAATACGGCCTTTTTATTACAATTTGTGAACATTAAACACCATTATTTTCTGTAAAGATTTTATACATTTTTAGAATTCAGTGAACTAGTGACACGACTATCCAGAAAATCTTAGCCAGGAAACAGCAAGCTTTTTTAATGCGACTCGCCACTGTTAAATAAGACCTATTTTATTATAACAGCTCTAGCATATAACCAAAATATATTTTTTGTGCCAACAAAAGGCTTATCAAGTCAAAAAGCATTCATGAATCATTAACTCCACTGCCCTCTTGGAGTGTGAAGACTAGGGCTTACTCATTTGCTATTAAAATTTATTCTTTTTCTTCAGATATTTGAAGTAAAATTTGTCAAGGAGTAAAATTGGGCGAGGGACTTGTATTTAAATGGCAGTCTTCTGCAGACTTGTTACGGAAATGTCTTAATAAAATTGTAGAGCTCAACAGAATATAGATAAATTTCAGCAGAATTTACACCAGTTGTAGGTAGGGTAATTTTAACACAGATGAACGAACATTTAATTTTATTTAAATTAAATCTGACAAAAATCACGCAATGCTCATCTGCCAACTGTTTCCAGCAGACTAAATGGACTGCTGAATAAATAAAACTAGAAACACTGTTGAGCCTTGTCCTACCAAAATTGTTTGGGTATTCCCACCCAAATTGTATTTAAATGGCAACAAATTTGCATGCCAAAGCATGACTATGTCCGGGGGAAAAAAAGTGACCATCAGAATGGAAGTCTGGTTTGTTGCGTCTACATTATCAATGTTATAATAATTGTCAGGCAATAAGAACCAGACCAGCAATCTTTGTTTTTTATTTAGACAGGTCCCCTAACTTCATGTATATAGGAAATTTTGTTTTGGGCATGGTGGGAAAAACTGTCAAGACACGAACACACACTGTAAAAGCAAGTACTTTATTGTATCAACCCTATTGTAACACCAACACTTTACCCCATGTCCATTGTTACTATTATAATAGCCCCACTGACTAAAACTGTAACCCCCTCAGGAGAGTGGTATCTGCCATTGTTATGCAAATTATCACTTGATTGGCAGCAATGACGTTCGTATATATGCAAATTATTCAACATGGCATTCTTTATCGCAGAATGCAGTCTCGTGCGCCTAATTGAACAAAAAATCACCCCCGCAAATTTTTCTGATTAACGTGCACAACTCGCACACCATTGTACATAAAAATGTCATACTGATGACGATAATTATCAGAAATTCAAAGATATAGAGAGAAAGGTTGCATTTTGACCCACCCATTAGTGTCGCTTTATTACAACAACACGGCTGGGTCAAAATTTATGCACACTTACACTTGAACTTAGAGCCTCCGTCAATTTGTCGACTTCTGTATATATTTTAGACACAACATATAGAGCAAACTTTAAAATATATAATATATTTTTCGTATGTTGTGATTATCATTATATTAAAAGCCTTGTCGAGTGGAAAATGTCGATAGAAAGAGCGTGGGACTAGGTTGTTTTCTGCTACATCTTCCAACTCGCAGATTGCGACACACCCCAAATCTTCTCCAAATTTCAGCGCTTGTTTTAACAGCAAATTTCAGACCATTCTCAGCATCTGGGAACAGAAAAGCAGAAGTAAGTATCCAGGGCCTCCTTTCGGTGTAGAATATCTGGTTTCCAGCGGCAACAAGATATAAATTTTGGGTGAAAATTCCTGAAAATTCAGAGCACAAAATGGCGACATCTCACCTTATAGAATTTTGAATGTGACGTCATTCACAGCGTTAAGGAAACGTGTCGAAGCACCTCTAACTTCTTAATTATAGTATCAAGAACGCATTATCTGATTTATGCTCAAGTAAATAATATTAAGTAATTTCTTTTTTACTTTGAAATTTAAACGAAATTAAGAACTTTATTACAATACAACACACATTTACGTTTTAAAGTGGTTTGAGAAAAGCAACAATATAACATATTTTCATTTTGCCTAGGGGGTCTTAGATTATATGAGTCACATGATGAACATTCGCGGTTTTTGGTTATTTAATGACAAACAAAACCAATTATTCTAAATATATCTTATAATTGTAATACTCGGAGCAAAACAATTACAATCATCTCGATTAAACGTATAATAAAACAGAAAATTGAACAAAATACTCGATTCTCATAGTTTGCGTGACACTACGAGAGTCGATCAACCAAACTTATTTTTCGCAAGGAGTTGTGGGTATACAGGAAAGCTTCAAGATGTCTGCCCTCATGCGTAAATGTGCGAATCAAGTCTGTAGAACGTTTATCGTTGGAGTTCACAGGGGAAACTATTTAGCAAACACACGGGTGAGTATTGACATCAATAATCACCAATAAACAGATGTCGATATCAGCGAATAGGAATGTTTCTGGTCCGCAGTTATATTGCCTTGGGTCGGGTGAGGTGTGGTGAGGGTGAGGGTGAGGGTAGGGGTAGGGGTAGGGGTAGGGTGGGTGGGTGTGTGTGTGTGGGTCATCATCACCGTATTATAAACAAACACATATACACCCTCCCGCAGGTGAAGGGAGGATAACAACGAATAATATTTCAAGGCAAAGCTACCAAGTGCAGCCGAGTGTACTCTCGTTTTGGATGTTTTTGGTTATTTTATAAATATTTAAAGTGCCAATGTAACCCTGATGTCCATAATCAATTATTGGTATGTGAAAATTATCATAGTTCTTACATCGAAGCCCAAAATAAATATTTTAATAAAACAAATGGTTTTCAAAGTTTAATACTGTCTACAATCAGTCATTCAATAAGTATTTCACAACAAGACTCTTCGTGAGTCCTCATTTGCATTCAAGTATTCCCTGTTGATGTCACCAGGAGAAATTGTTGCACATCGTAGACATGATAGTGCGACTGTGAAATATTATTGTCTCTTGACTTTTAAATAATCAAAAAAACTTCCATTTTTAACAAATCTTACGATGCATTGTAGTGACAATGTTCAGAACCATTTCTCATATATTAATTTTGTGTTGTGTGATCATGACTTTATATACAATGGTATATTTTGATTTTTCTCTCTGTTTGATACATATAAATCAACATGGAAATCATCTATGGAAAGAGGAATAGAAGAAGAAAACAATGTTTTAATTAAATGTTTGATTCACGATCTAGTTAGAATAGTCTGGTTATAATCACTCTGAGATCGCAGGTTCCACCATTCAGGTAGTAACACTTGTCTGCATTAAACTCGTTAAAAATTGAATTTGCTTTGAGGCAATGCTTTGATCATAAGATAGATAAATAGATAGAATTTTTTATTTGGAACGTATTAATGAAATCTTGAGTAAAGTCCAAAAATAACAATAACAAAACAAAACATTCAGAACAACAAAAACTTACAGTCTAAAACATATCAAGAATATAGAAAATAAATTTTGCAAAAATGCTAAGAATGAAAAAATCATTACTTGAAACAATAATAGGAAATAATTCATCCATGCTAAAATCTTCCAGCTTTGGGGCATAGATGTATAGAGCTGCAAGGAATCTAGATCTTTGTTCTTTGATTTGACAAT